AGGAAAGAATTCTCAGAAGAGTCAAGAGTGGCAAAAAAATATATGAAGAAATGTTCATCATCCCTAGCCATAAAGGAAATACAAATCAAAACATCTCTGAGATTCTATCTAACTCTAGCCAGTTAGAGTGGCCAACATCATGAATTCAAACAAGTGTTGGTGGGGAAGTGGGGAAAAAGGAATCCTATTGCACTGTTGTTAGGAATGTAAACTAGCACAACTACACTGGACAGCAGTCTGGAAGTTCCTCAAAAAAACTAAACATAGATCTTCCCTATGACCCAGCCATACCACTGTGATCACCACAAGCCAGGATATCATAGAGACACTTGCACACCCATATCATAGAGACACTTGCTGCACTATTCATAACAGCACAGTTGTGGAAACAGTCCAGATGCCCCACAATAGATAAGTGGATCCAAAACATTAGTACCTATATACAATGGAATTTTACATGGCTATCAGAAAGAATATATGACATCTGCAGGGAAATGGATGAACAAAAAAAAAAATCATGTTAAGTGAAGTAAACCAGGTTCAGAGACAATGGTGCATGTTTTCTCTCATATGCGGAAGCTAGATCTAAAATTCACTGGGACATGGTAAATTATACAGGATCCTAGGCATTTACACACAGTGAGACCACAGGAGGGCACTCTTAGGAGAGGAACAGTTAAGGTACAATGCGTATGTGCATCTGATCATACAAAATAATATTTACCAAAAGGAATTCCAGGAAATGGAAAGTTTTTTTTTCTTTTTTGCTATTTTTGCTTTTTGTTCATTTATATTTTGGGGGGAAGGTAAGGAGAGGCATAGAAATGGAGGGACAAAGGGTAAATAAATGCAACAGTATTACTCACTAGACACTAAGTTGGAAATGAACTATAGTACTTGTGGGTAGGGATAGGAGAGAAAAACTGGGAAAGAACAAGGAAAGAGATGACATTGTCCAAAAAGAAATGTATTCTCTCTCTCTCTTTCTCTCTCTATATATTTATTTTATTTTATTTTTTTGGGTCTGGTTGTGGGGCCTGAACTCTGGGCCTGGGCACTGTCCCTCAGCTCTTCAACTCAAGGCTAGCTAGCGCTCTACCACTTGAGCCACAGCGCCACTTCTGCCTTTTTTAAATTTTTGCTTATGTGGTGCTGAGGAATCAAACCCAGGGCCTCAGGCATGCAAGGCAAGCGCTCTACCACTGAGCCACCTTCCCAGCCCCTCTATTCAATATTTACTGGAGCAATTTTTACAGGGCATTTTGGCAAAACAGAAACAAAAACAAAAACAACCCCCTCCCAATCCAAATGTAGTGCTACACATTTTAAGCCATCCTGGGCTACATAGGGAGACCTGTCTCAAAAAAAAAAAAAAAAAATCTGGGCTAGCACTGGTGGCTCATACCTGTAATTCTAGCTACTCAGCAGGCTGAGATCTGAGAATCACAGTTCAAAGCCAGCCCAGGCAGGAGGGCCTGTCTTCAATTAGCCACCAGAAAACCAAAAGTGGTGCTATGGCTCAAAGTGGTAGAGCACTAGCCTTGAGCAAAAGAGCTCAAGGACAGCTCTCAGGCCCCAAGTTCAAGCCCTATGACTGATATTAAAAAAAAAAAAAGGAGTTGGGAGTGATGGTACATGCTTATAATCCCAGCAATTGAGAGGAAGGCAGAGTTAGAGGAATAGCTGAGCATTAAGGCAAACTAGGCTATATAGCAAAACTCGGTCCAAGAGAAGGGGGTAGAAAAGGCTTCATCAGTGAGGAAGAAGCCAAACTACCTCTATTCACAGATGTCACAATATTTCAGATATAGGAATTCACTACAAATGATTACAACTAATCAGTAAGTTGAGCAAAAAGATACAAGATTAATATAAACAAATCCAGATGCTGGCTATAGTGGTACATATTTATAATTACAGCTATGAGTAGGTAGAGCAAGAAGGATCACAGTTCAAGGCCAGCCCAGGCAAGAGGATGAGACCCTATCTGAAAAAACAAAACAAAACACTAAAAGCAAAAGAAGGTTGTTTGACTAAAGTGGTAAAGTGCTTGCCTGGCAAGTATAAGGCTCTGAGTTCAATCTTCCATACAGGGTTGGTGGTTGGTGGTAGGGAGTTAACTTATTGTATTTCTGTATGCTCATTAACGGTATAAAAACTCCTGATTCTGAGCTGGGCGCTGGTGGCTCATGCCTGTAATCCTAGCTACTCAGGAGGCTGAGATCTGAGCATCACGGTTCACAGCCAGCCTGGGCAGAAGTCCATGAGACTCTTATCTCCAATAAACCACTCGAAAACCAGAAGTGGTGCTGTGGGTCAAGTGGTAGAGCGCTCATCTTGAGTTGAAGAGCGCAGGGACAGTGCCCAAGCCCAGAGTTCAAGCTCCACTACCGAAAAAAAAAAAACAAACAAAAAACCAGCAACAACAACAAAAGAACTTACTACAAAGCTACAGATACCAAGACAGTAGATTACCAAAGAGGGTCAGAAACAGCTCCATTATTTTCAACTAAGGTGCCAAGACCATTCAATGAGGAGAGAGCAGGACAATGATATACACATGTGGATTCCTACTTTATAAAACAAGCAAATATTAATTAAAAATGGATCAAAGACCTCAAATCACAGTTGCAACTTTAAAATCTTAGGGAAAGCATAGATATCTCTGTGTGTGTATGTGTGTGTGTGTGCGCGCGCGTACATTCATGCATGCACCAATCTGGGGCTTGAACTCAGGGCCTGGTAGCTGAGTTCCTTCAATTTTTTTTTTTTTTTTGGATCCGGTCCTGGGGCCTGAACTCTGGGCCTGGGTGCTGCCTCTCAGCTCTTCAGCTCAAGGCTAGCACTCTACCACTTGAGCCACAGCACCACTTCCAGGTTTTTTCCTTTTTGCTTATGTGGTGCTGAGGAATCGAATCCAGGGCCTCATGCATGCAAGGCAAGGGCTCTACCATTGAGCCACCTTCCCAGCCCTGAGAGCTGAGTTTCTTGTGCCCAAAGTTAACACTCTACCACTTGAGCCACAGTTCCACTTCTTGCTTTTTTGGGGGGGTAGTTTATTGCTTTCCTGCCTGGGCTGGCTTAGATCTTGACTGGATTAGGCAATGGTTTCTTTAGTTGTCATAAAAACACTGATAACCAAAGCAAGAAAATAGGTAAACTGGATTTCTGCAAAAGTAAACTTTTCTGTGCTTTGGAGAACACCAACAAAATAGTGAAGGGAGATGGTTATGGTTGTATTCCTGTAATCTGTGCCAAGGAAGCAGAAATCAGGAAGTATATAGTAGTTTAAGGCCAGCCTGGGCAAAAAAGTAAGACCCCCTACCTCAATCAATAAGCCAGGTATTATGGCATATACTTGTGATCACATTTTGAAACCAGCCCTAGGCAAATGTGAAACCTTATCTAATAAATAACTAAAGCAAAGAGGGATGGTTTGACCCTGGTGGCTCACGCTTGTAATCCTAGCTAGGCAGGAGGCTGAGATCTGAGGATCAGGATCTGCCAGCCCAGGCAGAAAAATCCATGAGACTTACTGGAAGTGGTACTATGGCTCAAGTGGTAGCGCTTACCTTGAACTGAAGAGCTCAGGTCAGCGCCCAGGCCCAGAGTTCAAGCCCCACGACTAACAAAAAAAGGGCTGGTTCAAAATCCCAGTATTACACATAGACATACATTCAAAAGAAAACTCACACAATGGAAGAAAATATTTCAAATAAGAGGCTGGAATCCAGAAAAAAAAATTAAAACAACAATAAAATGATTAAATAACCCAATGGGCAAAGAATTTGACTAGACACTTTTCCAAAGAAGGTATAGACCAGGTAGTAAGCACATAAAAAGAGGCTCAACATCATCAGTGATCACGGAGATACAATTCAAAACTGCAAGTTGTCATTTCACAATCACTGGGATGTTGATAACAATACAATGCTGATGACAACAGATAAGGTTAGCAAAGATGCTGAAAAACTGGAACCATAATACACTGCACTGGTGGGATTATAAAGCAGCATTTCTATTCTAGAAACTGGTCTGGCAAAGCCTCAAAATGTTATATGACATTACCATCCAACTCAACAATTCCTCTCCTGGCTATATATCCAAGAGACATGAAAACATATGCCCATGCAAAGACTTGTATGTAAATGTACCATAGCAGCATTTTCATAATAATGGAAAAAGTAGAAACAACCCAAACGTCTATCAACTGATAAATGGATTAATAAAACATAGTTTATCCTTCATAATAGTGATGAATTCAAATGATATATTAAAACACAATGCAATATGAACAAACTTTAGTAACAGTTCGCTAAGAAAAAAATCCAGTCTTAAAAGGCAACATATTATATGATTCTATTTATGTAACATGCTCAACATATTCAAATCCACAGAGATGCAATATGGATTGGTGGTTGACAATATGGATTGGTGGTTGTCAGGAACAGAGGCAAGGGAATGAAGGTGAATGATGGTACTGGGAATTTCTCTCTCTCTCTCTCTCCTCCCACCCCCACAGTTGTGGGGCTTGAACTCAGGGCCTGGGAGTTATCCCTGAGCCTCTTTGTGCTCAAGGCTAGTGCTCCACCACTTGAACCATAGTTCCACTTTTTGTTTTTGAGTGGGTTAATTTGGAGATAAAGAGTTTCATGGGGACTTTTCTTTGAACTGTGATCCTCAGACCTCAGCCTCCTGAGTAGCTAGGATTACAGGCGTGAGCCACTGTTGCCTGGGTTGGGAATTTTCTTTAGTAAGGTGATGAAAAGTATTCTATAATCTGTTGGGGTGATGTACTGTGGACTTAAATGGGCAAATCACATATGAAATTAGATGAATAAAGCGGTCATTTAAAAATTACCCCATTTTACTCCTTTGTATTATCTTCTGTGAATTCTTTGAGAATTTATAATAGGAAAGGGTCAGGAGGTATATATGGAAGGGACTGACCAATTTGCACACCCCTTTGATGCTCTGGATGGGTATAAATACCAGCTTACCTGCATCAATGGCACACGGGTAATGGTATCGGAAGGAGCAGCCTTTGTTGTAGCAGCCCAGGGTGGCACCGGCCTCCTGGCAGTGGGAGCATTTCTGAAAGGAAGAAGCCAGGCATGTCAGTCAGTATCCCAGATTCGCCCCCCCATCAGGCCTTCCCTTCATCCATTGTGGTTGAAGGAGTCTGTGGTGGCAGGATAGGCTGGTCCATCTCTCACTGCCATTCACTGGCCATACCAGGGGAAGGAGCCAGAGGCATGCTTAAGGCCAGGCCTCATGAATGATCTAAAATAAAATGGAAGAACATGCTGGGCCAAGGCAAGTGGCCTTCTAGTACACAGTGGCAACACCAGGGAGTGACACCCAGCCCTGCCTCTAGTGTCTCTGGTGTCCACCCACTCTGCCACTCATTTCTTCTCTGCTATTATATGCTTCCTGCAGATCTGTCCCGTTTTATTTTTGCTGTGGAAATCTGGAGTAGGAGGAGAAGGTTAAGGGAGTAGATATATACAAACCTTTTAGAATTAAAAGTGGAATTTGGCTTCTAGCTCTTACATTTATAAGATTTTTATTTTTGATCTACTTACTCAAATGCCCAATACAACTATATTTTTTCCTTTCTCAGAAAGTATGGGCTTCTGTATGCAAATATTATTTTTATACATGAATTCTATTTTAAATGTACTAGGAAACCTGCCACAAATTTCTGCTAAGTGAGACATTATCCCGTAATGGCGGTACTCCTCCTTATATGGTCAGGTTTTCTCAATGTGGGGCACATCTCTGTTGTCCCTGTGATGTGGCTGCTGCAAGTACTCATCCTGTCAGCATAGAAAACGTGCTCTACCAGCAACAATCGTGGTCATAAAACTCAACCACATGTGGCCCTACTAAGGAGAGATATACCTTCTTTATTCTTCTGGGAAATAAGTAATTAGCTAACCAACCACTTGCTCCTGACTCTACAAAAAAAAAAAAAAAATCAATGTGTTACCAAAATGGTTACACCTGAGGAAGCTCAAGTTTCTAGAATGCCAACAATAGTGCAGCTCACATACCTTCCCTGTCAAGACAGCAGCAACAATGGACACACAGTTTACTCATACACCTGGCAGGTGTTTTTAACATCCCTATTGTACAGGTGATATAGCTTAGGTGATATGGATAAGGAACCAGAGGGGAGCTCCTAGTTCCGGGACAGAGCTGCAGTGCTTGAATCTCAGAGACAAATAGCACAGTAAGCCAAGTCATTTGAGAGCTTTGTCCTCTTTTCAGAAGACTAAGATCCTTTAGGGTGTCAATCAGTTAATGTTTACCATGCACACGGATATCCTTGCTGGGAAAGCAAAAATCTCTAGGCCTGGAATAAACAAGGACAGTTAAGAATCACTTCCAATAGCTCTGAACTATCCACTTCTGTCTGTGCCACAGAGCACCTAAGGACAGAAGGCCTTATCCTCAACACAACAGCATAGAGTGTGGTCAGTTTGTCGGTGGCATCCATTTTTGAAGGTCCCAACAGCCAGCTATTCTAAGATTTGAGCTTTAGGCTCTCCCTAACCTTGGTGTGAATCTAAGTTCATGGTACCAACATAGGAATGGGAGCATCAAGTATTCTTGGCAGGAAGGTCTGAGGAAAAGGGGTCTTATGCAAAAGTTTTGTCCCCCAACCTTGTTTTTTGGCAGGTCATGGGTCTTGAACTCAGGGCTTGGGTGCTATTCCTGAGCTCTTCAGCTCAAGGCTAGTGCTCTACCACTTGAGCCACAGCGCCACTTCCAGTTTTCTGGTGGTTAATTGGAAATAAGAGTCTCATGGACTTTTCTGCCTAGGCTGGCTTTGAACTGCAATCCTCAGATCTCAGCCTCCTCCTGCATAGCTAGGATTACAGGCGTGAGTTACCTGCACCTGACTAGTTTTTGTCCCCTTAAAAAGGGATAAGAAGCCGGGTGCTGGTGGCTAACACCTGTAATCCTAGCTACTCAGGAGGCTGAGATCTGAGGATCAGGGTTCAAAGCCAGCCTGTGAGACTCCTATCTCCAATAAACCACCAGAAAACTGGAAGTGGCGCGGTAGCTCAAGTGGCAGAGCGCTCAACTTGAGCTGAAGAGCTGAGGGACAGTGCCCAAGCCCAGAGGTCAAGCCCCCAACCAACCAAAAAAAAAAAAGGGGGGGGGGATAAGAGAGAGAAGGCCATCTCCCTCATCCTGTGAGTACAAGGTCTGTAGTAGCCATCTTATACCAAGGAGACAGTCCTGAAAACAAATCAATCTGTTGGGAACAGAAAGATGACAAGATGGAGAGACCTAAATCCTTTGTGATACTAAGCACTAAATTAACCACCTCCACATGTGCACCAGGACAAGACACAAACAAACAGCAACAAAGTTTCAAGATGGTAATGGCCAGTGGTTGACAGTAAGGCTAGAAATCCACCCAGCTTCTCAAAGCCTAGGAGCCAGCAGGTAGTTCTCCCCGCCCCCCTGCCCCCAACTATATCAGCATCATCTACTAAGAAGAAAATTTATGATAAAGCTTCAAAGGAAGCTTGGAAAAGAGAATTAAAGAGCAGAAAATAGTGCATAGATCCTAAACACCTAAGATATAAAAATATTGGATGAAATGACGTTAAGAGTTAAATGAGAAAGTATTGAAAGACAAGCATAAAAAGCTACATGAAACCTGTAAATGTATTCTACAACTTTATGAAAAAAGAATCCAGACACTTAAGATATTTACAAAGAACTAAGCAAGTTAGAATATGAACAGAAGAGGGCCGACACAGGCAGTATTTTGGTGCTGTCACGAGTGTTCAGCAGGGCTGAGAAAGTGGCTCAGTGGTAGAGCACTTGCCTTGCATGCCTGAAGTCGGAAGTGGCACTGTGGCTCAAGTGGTAGAGCGCTAGCCTTGAGCTGAAGAGCTGAGGGACAGCGCCCAGGCCCAGAGTTCAGGCACCACAACCGGACCCCCCCCCCAAAAAAAAGTTCAGCATGTGGAAGGAGTATGCCTTTGCCATATATGCTTCATGCTCCCTCTGTCACCTTGACCTAGGTCAGTCCACTTTTTTTGTGCCCAGCTGTGCTCCATCATTAAGAAAACCTCAGCCTATGGTCCTCTGACCCAGTGCTTCCTATTCTCCCTCTTCTTGAGGATGGTGTTCTACACTTGCCCCTGGCAGAAAACTTCCTGTCTTCTATGTGGTCCACCTCCTTGCCAAGTCTTAAAGATGTAGTACCAGGCGCCAGTGACTCACGCATGTAATTCTAACTACTCAGGAGGCTGAGATAGGAGGATCACAGTTCAAAACCAGCCTGGGCAGAAAAGTCCATGAGACTCTTATCTCCAATAAACCATTCAGAAAACTGAAAGTGGCGCTGTGGCTCAAGTGGTAGAGCAGTAGCCTTGAGATGAAGAGCTGAGGGACAGTATTCAGGGCCCAGAGTTCAAGCCCCATGACTGACCAAAAAAAAAAAAAAAGTATGCTCTAGATCTTCCTTCCCATTATAGGCAAGAAGAAGACATGAAGAGGAAGACATGTTGTAAACCCCGAACTTGCTCAGGTCATGAAGATGACGCTTTCAGCATGGGAAGGTTGACTATCCTGAGCACATGGGTCAAGATCAGCATGAGGACAGTACTAATGACAACGACATTGATAGAGGAGACAGAGAAAGTGAGGCACAGAGATGACAGTGAGTAAGACAAGACTGAGCAGAAAAAATACCTGGAAAATCAAGGAAGAAACAGAATGTGATGAAGAAGCTGACACCTCTTTAAGCTTATGATGCTTTGAATGGCAGGTCAAGAAATCCCTAAGAATGGGAAGTTGAGTAAGTTTTGAAGAAAATGAAGCAGTTTTACAAGAATAGAAGAAAGGGTTCTCATTCTGAGGACACCCCCTAACTGCTTCTTCATGGTGGCAGGGTCAGCCACAACCTGATCCTCCTCCTCAGATACAAGTACCCCCTCCCATGCCAAGACCACCTCCTTTTGTACTGCCACCAAACCCAGAGTTCTTTATTAGTGCCTCACCTAACTGGACTCAGTGAACAAGGCAAGTAATATAAGAGCAATCGTGATTGAGAAAAAAAGCCCTCCAATGCCAAGCCGCAGATCACTAATCCCAAGGCAGAGCTGACTCCTTTTGTGCCCACTGTACTCAGAGGCTCCTTCAGGGCAACTTCTACCCCTAAAGAAACTAGAGGACGACTCTGCTATGCTTCTTGCCAAAGTAGCCCCCAAATCTGTTCTTGTGTTTCTGTGTCACTACACACCAAGGATGTTCGTGAAGCTTTCATGAAAGCGAAAGAAGGGCTGCTGAAGGAGTTGTGACACCAGAACAAGCTTCTGTCCACAACAGCGGTTCCTGGGGCAGAGGCTCTTACTAAGTTGAAAGAGCGACTGAGTATTTTCTAATTTCACTCCAAGGAAGGCCCTGAAGGTTAGAAAGGGTCACTGAAGCAGAGCTATTACAGCCACTCCATTACACCATCACTTCCCGGAACTTCAAGTCTTTGGAAATTTGTCAATTGTAGTTGTGTATCTGTGTATCTCTTCTTATGTGATATAGGCACTGGAGTAGAGATTTCTTTTTTTTTTTTTGGGGGGGGGGTCCG